AGAGGAGGTAAAAAATATTTTATTACTTTTATAAATGATTGCACTAGGTATTGTTATGTGTATTTGCTAAGAAGCAAAGACGAGGCCTTAGAATCATTTAAGCAGTATAAGAATAAGGTTGAGGATCAATCTAGCAAACGAATAAAAGTTATCCGTAGTGATAGAGGTAAAGAATATGGGGCACCGTTTGAAGAATTTTGTTCAGATTCAGGGATTATTCATCAAATCACAGCATCGTATTCACCTCAGTCAAACGGTATTGTTGAACCCAAAAATCGTACTCTTAAAAGAGATGGTGAACTCTATGTTGATCGGTTCTGGTTTACCTCAGAATTTGTGGGAAGAAACAATTCTCTCAACTAACCACATACTAAATAAATTTACTACACAAAGGTAAGAACGAAACTCCTTATTAGTTATGAAAATGTTATAAACCTTCGTACAAATACTTGAAAATGTGGGGGTGTTCCACTAAGGTAGAAGTACCAAAGCCTAAACAAGTTAAAATAGGGCAAAAAACAATCATTTGCATATTCATTAGACATACTAATAACAGTAGTGCGTATCGCTTCCTCGTATATAAGTCCGACATTCTAGATGTACATGAAAATACTATTATTGAAGTTAGGAATTGTGTATTTTTTAGGACATTTTTCCTTGTAAGGATAGGAAAGAGATAATTTTATAAAAATGAACTTATGATACTATATTGGTAATCATCAAAGTGATAAAGAACCAAGACGTAGTAAAATGGTCAAAATAGCTACGTCCTATGGTCAAGATTTTCTAACTTATTTGTTAGAAAATGAACCTAAGACATTCAATGAAGCAATGTCAAGTTCAAAAGCTCCATTTTGGAAAGAGATTATCAATGATGAAACAGATTCTATTATGCAGAATCATACATGGGAGTTGGTAGATCTCTCACCACATAACAAACCATTAGGTTGTAAATAGATTTTCAAAAGAAAATTAAAGATTGATGGATCAATAGATAAATATAAGGTTAGATTGGTAGCTAAAGGATTTAAATAAAAGGAAGGTCTTCATTCTTCGATACATACTCTCTGGTAACAAGAATAACGTCTATTACAGTATTAATTGTAATCGCAACATTGCATAATATGGAGATCCATCAGATAGACGTTAAAACAACATTCTTAAATGAAGAGCTAGAAGAAGAAATTTACATAGAACAACATGAAGGGTTCATTGCTCGTGGACAGGAGAAAAATGTGTGTAGACTCGTTAAGTCACTACACGGACTAAAGTAAGTACCAAAATAGTGGCATGCAAAATTTGACAAAACTATGTTATCAGATGGATTTAAGATTAACGAATGTGATAAACGTATTTATATTAAAACCACACCCAGTGCATATGTAATTGTATGTGTCTATGTTGATAACATGCTCATAATGAATAGTAATCATGATATCATAGAAACTACCAAGAAAATGTTAACAAAATATTTTGACATGAAAGATATGGGTATTGCAGATATAATATTAGGAATTAAAATCCTTAAGACATCTGAGGGATTTGTTCTATCTCAATCTCACTATATTGAGACTGGGCTTAAAAAGTTTCATGTATATGATGAAAGTCCAGTTAAAACTGCACTAGACTTAAGTTTACATTTGGCCAAACATAAAGGCGAGCCCGTATCTCAATTGAAGTACTCTCAAATAATAGATAGTCTAATGTATATTACCAACTGTACTCGTTCGGATATAGCATATGCAGTGAACAAGCTTAGTAGATTCACTAGTAACCCAAATAATGACCATTGGAAGGCATTGATAAGGGTTCTTAGATATCTACAATACACGTCAAATGTTGGATTACATTATACAAGATATCCAGCAATATTAGAAGGACACAGTGATGCTAATTAGATATCAGATACAAAAGACTCAAAATCCACTAGTGGTTATATCCTTACCATTGATGGTGCAACCGTGTCTTGAAAATCATCTAAACAAACGTGTATAGCTTGATCTATGATGGAATTTGAGTTCATAGCTTTAGATAAAGTTGGAGAAGAAGCAAAATGACTTCATAATTTATTAGAGGATATTCGATGTTGGCCTAAATCTGTGCATGTAGTTAGTATGCATTGTGATAATCAATCGGCTATCGATAGAGCACAAAGTAGCATGTATAATTGTAATTCTCGACATATGTCGAAGACATAATACAATTAAGCAGTTGATATTGAATGGTGTTATTTCCAAAGATTATGTAAAATTTAGAGAAAATCTCGCGGATCCGCTCACAAAAGGTTTACCAAGAGATTGGGATGGCAATTGGGCTCGTCGACTCGAGCCGCCTGTGGCTCAGCTCGAAAAAAGCTCTAGCACGATTGGCTTGAGGCTCGAGCTGAGCCCCATTTTCAAGTGCCGGGCAAAACCCAAGCCGGCCCGTGTGGCTCACCCGCTCGAGAGAACGGAGCATATATTTAAAATAAAATAAAATTAGGCAGCTACTGTCAGAAATAGACAGCAGGTTGTTGCTAAACAAGTTGCTACCTCTTTTTTTTTTAAATAAAATAAAATAAAATAAAATTTCAAAACCAAACAAAACCTGAGCCAGCCCGGCTCAAAAAGGCCCGAGTGAGCCTAATTTTTTTGCCAAGTTGTTGCTCGGGCCCGAAAAAAAGCTCGGATATTTTATCCGAGCCGAGCCCGAGCCTATAATTTCGGCTCGCAAGCCGACTCAACTCGTTGACATCCCTATCAAGAGATCAAATGAATTGCCTATTAAGGGGAATGAGATTAAAGCCTACTACGGAAGGATCTTTGTAATGGTAACCCAACATTGTTGACTGGAGATCCCAAGATCTTGGTTTAATGGAACAACTAAATTATGAAGATTCAAAAAGTACTTTGGAGTTAACTCCTACCTATTCTTATGATAAAAAAAAGTGCTATTTGTAGAAAGTATTAGGTTAAGTTATACTTTTAATGATTCCTATATCTTTCATTATCCAAGTGGAGTATGGCTGGTACTCTTAATAAAAAATCACCTACATAAGTGTGAAGTTGGGCCGCTTCCATTAAAATGTTTCAAATGCTTGAATTTTCTACTTATGAAATTCAAAAGTTGTTTCGAGCCAAAATGAGCACAGTAGTGAGAACTCGAAAATATTAGGAGGTTATTGTGTTGATGCTATTGTCTTAGTTTACACTAATGGCTAACAGTTCAAGACATCGCATTCACTGATTAGCCAAGTAAATTCGATAGTATTCTCTTATGGAAGGTTCAAACCTATAGGGTACCTATCTAAATGCAATAACTTTTCGTCTGATCTCTCGTTAGGGTTTGCATCATCTATTGCATTAATTTCCATTCATGTGGGGGATTGTTGGAAGATTTGGAATAATTAGTTGGTTTGACCAACTTTTGACCAATTATTTTAGAGGGTCGGTTAGGTGGATAAATGATTTATTTGGCCAAGTGCATTCTATTCCATGAGTAGAATTGATATATGTATTTATTTCTCAAAACTAATTAAGAGTGAATGAGAAATTAAAGTCAAAATGACCACTTGAAATTGAAATAAACTGAGAATAATAATTGGTGAAAATTTGAAAAATGTCAATCCCACATAGGAAAATTAGAAGAATAGTAACCACTTTATATAGGTCAAGTTTGGAACTTGAATTTGGACCCCAAGGGGCACCCCTAATTTTTGGAGGGGAGAGGACCTACATGTTAGTAAATTCAACTAAAGCACACACTCGCGCGTCGTCGCCGTCTGTCCATCCTACCAACTTGCTCGGCTCGACACGAGCACGTGCACGAGTACGGGTCGTGGGCTTGGGCTTGGGCTTGGTCCAGTTGGTATATATATTTTTTGGTGAAATAATATTTTAATTATATTATTTTATTAATTAAATAATATATTTTCATTATATTATTTATTTTCTCTTCCCCGAATTTTCTGTGCGCGACACATAGCTTCTTCTAGAAACTGACGGTTGGTGACTGTTTTAACTGCCTGTCCAAACGGGTTGTGTCTGTTCCAAGACACAACTTTTAGGTTGTTTTGTCTTTTGGACACAACCTTTCAACTTCTATAAATAGACCCACAAATCCCCGATTTTGTTCATTCTAAAAAAATTTCTTCTCCGCTTTCCTCTCTTGCAATATTGTACTTCTGTCATGCAGTGTTCCATATTCTGCATTTCAGTTCTAAATATTATTTTCGTGCATTTTGGTCCTCCAATTTTCGAGAGATCAAAATATTGGTAGGTTCGCTAGGTCTTGTAATTTGGAGTACTATTATTACAAGTCAAGGTCATTGTATATTTAGAGACGAGTGTCAGGAGACCATCAACACCAATGCGAGAAATTATCATCTTAAGGAGAAAGAGTTGAACTCTTGCTTCGACCATTATTCATTCTCATTTTAGTACGCTAATTATGTAAGTCAAAATTCTGCCGAAATATTTATTCACTATCTATTTAAATTACTGCTTGACATTCTCAAATTTCATTCAACAATTTCAGCAGCTACCAACCATTACAAAGATATTCTGGTAACTTTTTGGAAATTACAAAGAGCTCCCATGTGGACAAAAATAGATACATGAACCCCTCTTTGATGTGGAGTTAAAATCAGACTTTTAATAAATTTTGATAATATAGATGAACTATGCGATGATAACTTGTAAATTCCATCAAATATTTGATTAAAATAAATTATTAACTTTAATTTTGATAAAATTCCAGATTTTATCCCCACTAAAAAGTGGGACATAGTATTCACTTTTTCGCATTTGTCTGTATGCTGAATCTAAAATAATCTTTTTTTTCTTATTTTTAACATCAATAACGCCACTATATTTAGTTTAAATCACTTGTAATTCCTCTTTCCGCACACGTGATTTCATTATTAACTAGTTAGAAAATAGCTTATTATTTTAAAATTAAACAAATTTGATCCAAATTTGTAACTAGACGTGAAATAAAAAGGAATTTAAACTTCAAACTTATTCAAGGAAAAACTTGCTATAAATTCGATTGCAACAACCGCAGAGATGCATCAACTAAACTGAGACTTGCTCAGCAAAAATGGTCACCAAAATGACCAAAGTTTTCCAAAATCTCTTTGCGATTTAAATTCCGATTTACAGGTAACTAAACCAACGAACTTTGGGGTCAGAAAAATAAATGAAGAGAAATTATTTCCAGCCATGTGCAAATGGCTACGCCAGACTTTCAAAACTGTTCATCTATATCCACATCAGAATTACCAAACAGCTTCCTCCAGAATAAAGGTGGCCTCAGTGTAGCAACCATGACCTTCCGGAGGAGGAAAGATGTCAATATATAAAGTCAGCAACTCGTTGCATTTCACTAAGCATACTGATGATTTAGGATGTACTTCACGACTTCGTAAAATGAAACCACAATCCCTACGGAAGGACCAGCACGGCCAACACGGGGACCAACACCTGTAAACAGTCCTTTCATTCCTCCATCCCTGAACAGATTATAAATTAACTTCAGATTTTGGACCATGGTTGCATAACATGCTTGAATAAGCACAAGTAATTTAATCTTTGAGAAAAATAAGTTCGAATTAATAAATTCAGTTGTCGATCAAAATAAAATAAAATTAGTCATGTTGACAGTAAAAGTAAGACTTAACTTCGAAATAACTTTTTTTTTTTTTTTTTGAAACTAAGTGTGTGTAACAAATTAAGGTATTCAAACAAGTTTTGCCAGTAAGTACTTCTACTTATCTTAACCTTACCCAAACATGCTAGTATACGGAAAGGAGAAAAACCCACATATTGTATGTTCAATATGAATATAACTTAAACATGAAATTGTAGACGTAAATATGTAGGGTGATTATTTATATGAACTCCGCATAGGACCTAATCATTCATCTGGCCAGTGAAGATTTGTGGTGATTGAAAATTCCAAAAGAACAAAAATCAATGCACATCTTGCAAAATTATGCAAGCATAAATTACATTTAAACAGTAAGCCACCTTGGGAAAAAGCTGTAGATAGAAGGTTCAAATTAACTTGGATGTATTGGTGGATGTGAACTTTTCACCAATAAACTGAATTAGGTCAACAAAATAAGACTGAGTGGTTCACGTTTGATGCATGCATTACATATGGTTAGCAGACATATATGCTAAGACATACCTCCAAACCTCCACCAGTGTCTGTCTTGTCGTCATACTCAATGCCCTTGTTGGATCTCTCTGGAAAATGCACAAAACAAACCAAATTTTAAAAATAAAAATAAAAAATGGGAAAAAGAAAGAAAAAGTAGTGCACGATTATATGTTGAAATACAAGATTACATTTTTCAAGGAGTAATGCTTGAGAAAATGGAACACAAAATTTTCTAAATGGCAGGAGATATCTACATTTACACAAATTTTACAATTATATGATCAGCTTTAACATTTATAAACTCCACAAAATCACATAAACTGGATTAGTTATACCTAGACTGGCTCTGCATACAACAAAAATTGAAGTTAGGGTCATATCTTAGCTTCTGTAGATTGTTATGTCACTTCGCACAACCCTTATATTTGGCAGTTATGGAAACACACAGATTTAGATTGACTGCCAAACTCAAAGTAGCAGCAGAAAGTCAGTACCATCTAAGATCACGTGTCAGCCATATTAACAGCCTAGAACATTCATTATGCAACATTTATTATATTTTAAAAAAAATAAAATCTTACGCTCAACAAAAGAACCACTTAGAAAGAAAAGATATGTCTCATTGCAGTATAAAATCCTAAATGTAAGGAATTCAGTTTAAATGCCAGAAGATAATTTTTGGTTCAAGGGAAAACCTCAATCTGCCTTCGAGTCTTTGCAACGTCAAGCGGACACGTAGCAGCAGCAGCAAGGCTCCCAGCAACAAAACCAGCAGAGAAATTTGTCCCAAGTACACTGACTGCATTAGCTTCATCTCCCACGTAACTTAGAAGCCTCCTCCTTACCTATAACAGAGAACTTCTAATATCAAAGTTCTTGGATAAAATGTATGCAAAGATCCGATATACATGACAATAGCAAGCCCTTACTGGCTCAAGAGTTGACCAACAAATTGCAGAAAAAGGAACATCACGAGCAAGCTGTGCCCCAAGGCCAGTCCACAAAACACGGTAGTTTTGCACTGCAACGGAATAAGTTATGATGAGTTGAATCAAGACGTCCATATGAATCTCCTCATAAATTTAAGGAATTGAAAAGATTTGAGTGACACATTTTATGCATTAACAACAATACATTTTATTTGAAAGACAGAAAAAGCCAGAAAATTCCTGTAATGGCTACAAAAGCTGGAACCCCTCCCTTACCCCAAAAAAAAATTAAAAAAAAATATATAATAATAATAATAATAATAATAATAATAATAATAATAATAATAATAATAATAATAATAATAAAAATGCCTAGAGATATAGAGTTTTCTTTCATTTATGAGGTCTAACAGCATCTCTGAAGGGGAAAGTTTTGATTTTCCTTCAGTTAAAGAATTTTGAGAAAATGATTGGGATAGCCATAAAACCTAAGTTGCTTTCTAAGCACAAATCTTTAGCTGCCTGATTTTTGAAGAAATTACATAACTCTCAGTTTAACAAAATCAACCTTCTTCAATAAGCTAAGAATATCGACTTACAGCTGTTAGTGAAGCTAGTCGCGCTCTTGACCTGGTAGATTACCTCAATTAAAGTCTTCCATACTCCAGGAGGTTTCTTCCCACAATCCTTGAATGCCTGTATATCTTGTTAATAATTATTATTAGAAAAGAAAGATGGGAAGAACATATGAAAGAGAGAAAGAAAAAGCAGCTTTATAAACATTACCTGCATACGTGTTTTGGCAAGTTCAATGGGGTAGCAACTAGTGCAAGCTAAAGATCGAGCCAATGAGCCTGCCATCAATGGAGCATATGGCGTCAAACTTGGAGCATTTTGCGCAGTGAATTCCTCTAACTGGTTGCGGAAAATGTCATAGCACGGCAAGTAGATGCCCACCTGTTTGGAAAACAGTGAAGACCCTCATCTGAATATTTTATACAGGAACTCATTTCAACAAGGGATGAAAAATGGATTTTACTGCTGTGACTATTGGTCTCAGCAACCCAAAACTTACCGTGGGTACAGCGAGAGCTAATCCAGCATTTGTGCCTCTCCACAGCCTAGAAATACCTTCCTGTAAAGCATACAACAATTTCATGTCCAAGAACATTAAAATGGTAGTCTGTACAAAGCCCAAGGTTGATTCATTTATGTTAACACAGCTTGCCAAACAACATAGATGTATAAAAAGTAACTATCACCATACTACCTGTCGAATAATTTTATAGAAGACATCCAGTGTTCCTTTGTACTGGAAACAATCAGGAGGGCAAATTGATACAGTACCATGAACGCCAGCACGGGTGCATGATGGAGAACATCTTAGATCTGCAAACATCTAGCAAATACATTGCAGTAAGGTCAGTTGAACTCCACATGCCATGAAGGACAAGCAAGGAAAAATTTCAACCTAAAGTATTGAATCCACCAGATAAACTATGCTTCTCAATGGCAAACATTTCACCAAGGTTGACTGGATATCAACCAAAATGCATGTAAATATTCTTTTTATAAGCAAACAAGGTAACAGACTGGGAGCATCAAAATTAAAATGAAGATTTAACTTTAAAATGGGTCGATTTGACGAGATGTAACAGAATGACATTTTACAAGATTAAGATGTAAGTTAAATAGTTCAATCCATGGATCTAATGTCACTTTAAACACATTTTCACCACTCTAAGATCCCTTTAAGGCTCTAACGTCCATTCAACTAAATGTTGAGACAGAAAAACTAACTTGTTATAATGACAAAGATTTACATCCAACACAGCTGTTAGTCCAAGAAATTTTAAATCAGATAAAAATATACAGACTCTTGAAGTACAAATTACCATAGTTGGAACTTAGAGGTCAAGAACTGCATTAAGTATTACAAACGTAAAGTGTCAAAGTACCCCATTACTTTGTGAGGCTTATCAAAATAATTTTAAAACAAAAACTTTTGTCTGAAATTTCGTTTGCACAATTACATATGCTCGTTGCTTGTAGATATCCATTGAAATCTAAACAACGTAGGATGAGCAAAGTTTAACTCTTAATTGTTAACAATAATGTAGGATGCAAAATCAAAGAGAAAATACACTAGTTCTGTAATGAGGGCACCAGAATTTTAGGTTAAGAAATGAAAGATAATATTACATACCATATTCGGTCCGAAAAAGGCCATGCGACTTGTAAGATTACTCAACGGATGAGAGTAAGCGACTCCAGCAGCCTGTGCTTGCAGCCTCGTCTGCAAATGAATTATTAGAAAGCATATTCAAAGATACAACTTAATTTCCACGTCCAGATGAGAGAATTCTGGTTAATTTAAAATTTCGTTTTCCGCCTTGCAAGTTCAAGAACTCATAACCAATACAGCGTGACAACTGCATTCTACTTAGAAATGTATGGTTATAAATTCACAGCATGCAAGGGAAAACAAAGACTATACCCCTGTTTGTGCTTCATTAAAATGAGATTTTGAAGGAAAATGTAATTTGGAATAATATTTTTTTTTAGCGAATGTGCGATTAAAAAATAAGGAAAAATTTGGGTTTATGTGTAACATTATTTATGGGAGAATGTGTGATTGAAAATGAGTTTTGAAAAAAAAAAAAGTATTTTTGGAATAATGGTGCCCAATCAGGGGCTATATAAAGTGAAAGAATACAAATTGATGATATGTAAGGGAAATAAGATGACTCCAACATTTGCTATAAAAGTGCTGAGGACATCGGACATTTACTTATTTTATTTTATTGTTAAGCTTTATTTATTTTCTTGGACTATTATTTAGAAAATTTGACTTGTATGGGCTCGGGCCCAATCTCGTTAGAGTTGATTTACTATTTAAACCTATTTTGCATTATAATTTTCAATTTTAATGAATGAATAATTATTTTGGTGGCTTATGGTGCATCCCTCTCCTTTTTCTGCCTTCTTCTGTAAAATTCTTCTATCAGATGTGCTGTTCAAACTGTGAGACTGAGGCTGCTTAGGATGAGCGGCTTCAAGTCCATCCATGATCACCAACGATTCAGACATCAATGTGACACTTTTATCGATATCAACCATTCTAGAGGATTGATCTGCTGTATTCGTCCATGGAGTTTCGTTATGCTTCGATTCTTCTACCATCTTCCGATTAATCTCTCTTTTCAAATAGTACAATAAACCCGAAATGAAATAAATTGACCTGAAAATCAATAATTCCCAAATGGTCATAATTGCATTCTCCTAGAACAGAACATTACATATTAAGCACCCATTCAACATTTTTACTCATAAAATAGGTCTTCCAAATGGCAATTGTCCACCATGATTCGGGAAAGAAGAGGAACAAAATCAAGGCATCAATGAAAACAAACCATATGACACAAAGAACACTAATAATTCTAAACACATAAAACCAAATAAAAAAGTTTCATTTTCAGGGGGGAAAAAATCAACCAGAAATTTCAACACCCGTAACTCCTCTTTGCTTAGAAATTTTAACAACTACATAATATTCAGAAAAAGAAAAACAATAATTGACCTCCGCAATTAAATTAGAATATTACCCAAAAACACACCAACATGACGAAGTTAGTTAAAACTCAGATCAATATGCCCTGACGAATAGAAAGTCGGGTTCTTACAATAACATAAGTAAAACGAATACACACATACATATACATATTATTCAATAAGATAAATTATAACCGACCTTTTTTATATAGATTAGATAGTTACCAATAAAAAAGCACCAAAATGAAGAAATAAAATAAAAACCAGAACACTATGCCCTAAAAAATAAAAAAATAAAAAGGGTCCGCATATACTATATATATCTATTGAAGATTATGAATACATACATACACACTTATATATACCTGTTGATCTCGGCTTGTAACTACAACGTCCTGCGGTGGCTAAATCGCATTTTTATCTACCGGTTTTCCGTTTGCTAATGAGTGGAAGCAGATTTTTCCAAATTGCTTGGAGAAAATACTGACACCCCAAATATAAAGAGCTTAAGGAAAACTCGAGAATTAGGGCTGCGTTCGGCCCCGCCTTCTAGAATTCGATTTTCTCAAATTTTTCAAGTTTATAAAAAAGACACGTAGCGGCAGCTCCGAGGGGAAAATTTCACTAGAGGGTAATCAACTTACAGGTTCATTTCATGTGAGCCACCCAACTTCAATTGATTGTATAATTAAATAGTGTTTCAATTGCATAGTTATTATCTTAAAATTAAATATCGAATAAATCGAAGTTAACATTCAAATAAAATTAAGGTCCCGTTTGAGCCACATTAATGTAAAAATAAGAATGAAAAATATAATTATTACGAATTCCACACAAGAGATACAAAGTTAAACATGGTAATTTGATGTGATAAATAACGGTCATATTTTTCATTTTAATGAACAAATAATAGGAAACAAACAGGGGTTAAGAACTACCCTTCTATTGAAAACAAACGTTGAAGAATCTCCATGATTTAATCAAAATAAAAAGAATTGAAATATGTCAAAACAATGAAATAAGAGATTGTTCATTTTCTGATGTATGTAGTGATAATATATAGAATAATAAATATTTTTTGCTGTACTGGCCATAAATCTTTTCACGAAAATGTCTGTTATTACAACTTTAAGATCGAGACGTTTATTTTTTCTAAGTAGAACGTGAAGGATGACTGTTTCACAATTTTTCTATTTTAGTTAGTTTTCACACTGTTCTTATGTAAATTCGTGAAAATATCGATATTTAAGTTAAAAAAAACTTTTTAACAAGTTTAGAATGATCAAATTTTAACAAATTTTCCCTTAAAAAAAATTTAACAAAAATTAGAAATTAAAAGTCACTCAACGTACTAGCTCAAATTAAATAGCCAACTACATACCATGCTTTTTCCATTTTTTCAAAAAAAAAAAAAATTTATTTTTCACAAAAGTCCAATTTCTTTTTAAAGAAAGAAAACATCAAATATCCATTGCTCTTTGGGCAAACACTACGGATAAAAACATAGTAAATGAGGAGTAAAACTCACGATTCTCGTGCTTCTTCCTCCTCGTTTCTTCCAGTTCACCCATTTCCACTAAAGTCGCTATTTCATTTCATCTAAATCCTCGGGAAGAAATTACAAAGGCAGCATACACTCTCTAGAAACAAATTCTGTAAGCAATTTCGTTAATATATTATAAAGTACAGGAGGATTGCATCAGCCAGAGGTGAACAAAATGATCAAAACAAACCAAACTATTCAATTCGATTCTACAAAAATTTAATGATTTTAGTGCTTAAAATTGAGAACCATCTGGTTCAATTATAGTTTTAAAACCAAGAACAAAATCAAGAATCTAACTCATATATTTATGGTGAATCACAATTCATACCAAAAAATTCAAAATTTAATTGAAAATTAGGACCCAACTCTAACGTGGAGACTAACAACTACAGCTTGTCGCTTATTGTCGCATTCAGTCACCACTCTTGCATGGATTTTTGAATTTGAAGTCTCAACCTTCGATTCTTCCTCCTCATATACTCTCTCTCTCTCTCTCTCTCTCTCTCTCTCTCTCCCCTATTTTTCCTCAATCAATAATGAAACTGGAATCAAACTAAACAAGAATTGGATGCCTGGATGTTGATTCAGTTCGTGACTTAGAAAAAGTCATTTGGTTCCTTTATAATCATTGTTTTTGGGGTTCCGTTAGATTCTCTTGGAAGAAGAAAAAAAAAATCATGTCCACCCTTACAATCAGCCCTCCAAAATTCTTTCCATTTCTCTCTTGATACTATACTTTCTCGGTTTAAATTTATCAATTGCCACCAAACTTTATACTTAGTGTCACCATGGCTACTCAATTTAATTTTTTTCACCATAACCATCTCGACTTTATATTTAATGTCACTATGTCCATCCAATTTTATATACCGTTTCACGATGGTCATCCAACTTTTTTTACCATTTTCATTAATTTTAAAATAAGTAAAATGATAACTTTGCATTTTATATATAAAATAAATTTAAAAAAGAAAAATTAAAATAAAATCTTATTTAAAAAATTGACTTAAAATAATAAAATAAAAACTTATTTAAAAAAGTTTTTAAAATAAATTTAAAACTTTTTTTTTAGAAAAAAAAGTTACTCAAAAAAATAATATAAAATAAGAAGTTATTTAAAAAAAAGTTCCATTAAAAAAAAGCTTATTTAAACAAAAGATAATTAGGAAAATAAAATAAAAACTTATTTTAAAATTCAAAAAGCAAAAAACTTCTATTTTTTAAAAAAATTATTTTATATATACGGCTGTTTGTGCCCCTTTAATTTCAAAGAATGGTGTATGAAATAGTGATTGATGTTAAAATATGTGGTTAATAAGTAAAGAAATTTTTTTAATTTATGTATAATATTATTCTAATGAAGAATATGTGGTTAAAAATGAGTATTGTTGAAAAAATAATGTGGTAGAATGGTTGACAAACAGGGGTGTAATATAAAAGTTACTATTTTACCCCATCTAAAATGAATGATAATGGTGAACAAAATTGGATGGTCAGGGTGAAATGTTAAATAAAATTAGATGACCATACTAAAATATTGTATGAAATTGAGTTAATTGTTTCAATAATCACCCAACTTATACGATGGTTACGGTTTGCTCACTAAATTTCAAAATGCTTTACAGTGCTCACTAAACTTTGTCCTTTGTACCCCATTCATTATCCTCGAAAATTCATTACCTTATTTGTTGATGTGTCTAACGGGAATCTGACATGACAAGTTACAATTGCTAAAAAAATCACAATTCAACCAAATCATTGTTTAATTACTCATCCAACTTGCACAAACAGAACTTCAAAATGCTTCACAGTGGTCACTCATTTTTGAAATGTTGCACTCCATCCATTATCCCCTATTTTGTCCACTTCGTTGCTAATATATATTATGAAAATTTCACAGGTAAGTACAATTATCACAAAATTTACAACTCAACCAAGCCATCAACTTTCAAAAATCGCCATATGTAAAACCCGACTTCCACACCTCCATAAACTTTTTTAAAGCCCAATAAAGCGTCTCCAATTTTAGCCCTAAAAAATCTTAGTGATAAGTGCATTATGTTATACTTATTTAGGCCTTTAAGTTGGAGTATTTGTTCAATAATTTAATGAATTATGTCTTAATTCTAAATATATTGTGTTTGTTAGGTAAAAATCAACAAAATTTATGAAATTGGAGACAATGAACGAGAAAGAGGTTTAAAATAGACAAAGTATGATAATAAAAAAATATAAAACAATGATTGGAGATCACAAATGATCAATTGCACACAGTTAAAAGTTAAAGGGATAAAATATAGACAAAACATTTTCACAAATAAATTTCCAACCGAACACATTATGGTTTAGATTTTTAGCCCTAGATTGAAACCTATTTTTTGCACAGTAAATGTTCGAACTGGAAAAACAATATTTCTAAAAGAATTATTGGGGACACTTTATTGGGTTTTTAAATAAGCTTATGAGCCGTGAAGTCACGTTTTACATATGGTGGTTTTGGTAAGTTGATAGTTTTGTCGAGTTGTAATTTTTTTAACATTTATAACTTACCACATAAAATCTCAATACGAACATTAGCAAAAAGGATACAAAATATGACAGATAATCGATGAAGTGTAAAGTCTCAAAAATAAGTGACTATTGGGAAGCATTTCGAAGTTCAATGAGTAAACTGTGACCAAATGTAAGTTAAATGAGCAATGAAACAATTGCTTGGTTAAATTGTAAATTCTTTAACGATCATAACTTGCCACGTCAGATTTTCGTTAGCCATGTCAGCGAATAAGGTAACAGATTGGATGACGGATGAAGTGCAAACGGATAAAGTTTGGTGAGTGCCATGAAGCACTTTGAAATAAATCGTGACAATAGTATAAGTTGGATAATTGTTGAAACAATTAACTCTATGAAATTGAGCGGCCATTGTGAAATAAAATCAATTTCATAAAATCAAATTTGATGGCAATGACATTGTATATAAAATTGGGCGATCATAGTTCGACTTGAATAACCACGATGCTAATTATAAATTTCGGTGGCCATATATGGATATAAGAAAATTCTACTTGTACATAATGATTTTACATAATGGTGTCCATAATGTGATGTGACAATCATTCGATTGTTGAGTGCAAGTGTGAGATTTAAATTAAAGGTTGGATTCACGTGTAATTATGGACATCATTATGTAGACAATTATGGACACATAGCACTTCCCACGGATATATCTTACCTTTTCCTATTTTCCTTCTCTTCCCTCCAAATGAAATGGGAAATGGAGGTGGAAGAGATTGAAGATGTGCTTGAGAAAAATATAGGATTTGCATGACAAGTGAAGCAATGCAATTCGCACCATTTATCAAACCCACTTCCAGAATTCTATCAAAAATCCTTGCAAATCCGCTTCCTCGAGGAATTCCATTTCCATGGGAAAAGGAAATTCAATGAACTATGACAATACCGAGTCGGGTATCATATTCGTGAAGGGGCTTCCGGTCGATGACCATCAGGAAGCCAAGAGTCTTTATGCCATCTAAACCGCACTTGAATATCTAGAAAACCAGCTTCAATTTTTTCATGTAAATTTAATTGGTTTGAAAATTGAAATTTGAGCTGATAATATATTATATTTTTAATCAGTAGTTATAATAACATATTTTTTTCAGAATTGAAATTTGAGTCAGTATTGATGTTTATGATGCTTTAGTCTATTTTTGGGGAAAGTATAAGGTTAAAGACGGAAAAAGTTGGGATTGTTTGTAGTTTAATTGCTATACATACAGGTAGATGTGGGTTTTGTTAGGAAATTATATGAAGCAACAGGTAGCAGAGTGATTTATCTTCTAAATTTTCTGATCTATAATGAAACAACCATAATTAATTAAGGAGCAGCTATTTTCATCCACCAATCTTATACATATATCACACTCTAAATCCATTTCTATTACAATTTTAGAATTAAAAAAAGACAATATTCATCCCCATTACATTCCAACATTACGCTTATTAAATTTATTCATTTAAACACTATCCGCAAAGTTTGACCAAAAACAAATTTTCTCTGGGTATTTTATCGTTCCACATGAATTATTGCTATTATTTGTTGCTTTATTATGAGAACTAGTGAACTACACAAATGGTTATCCTGCAAACTTCATATCCTTTTCGGATTTCACTGCTGATATCAAACTTAAATAGCTTAAATGTGAATTTCGAAGAATTTTCTGCTTAATTACATATGTTTTGTTTGATAATATCCCAAAGCGTGAGCAATACTACATTTTGTTAGAAGAATTTACTTGTACAAGCTTACCGATTCTCTTATTACGCAAGAATTTGCTCCTACACGGACTAATTACTATGGAAAGTAGACAATTGACATATTAGATTTCACAGTTCAATTGCTTTATGAGAAATGAATCGTGGATTGCTGCTCTGTCTTTGTCCTACTTTCCCCTTTTTGTCTGTAAAAAAATGCTTGGTTGCCATTTTATGAATATTGTGGTTTTAGTTTAGTGTAAAGTCTCAATGAATATAAGAGGTCCAAAAGCATTTAATGAGAATAAATATTAGTGGATGAATTTAGAGTGATAGGTTTTATTTGATTTTATTCTTGTCTATTTAAATAAATTTACATAAGGTTAAAAATGTAATTTATAAATTTTACTATAAAGTGGATAGATATATAAGAATGATGGATGAAAACTGGTCCTATTAAATATTATATTATTGTGGGCTATCTTTTAACGGAGAACAACTAAAGTTTCAATGGTAGAGAACCATGGACGAAGTGCATTGCCTCCTTATTCTTTGGTTTTGAGAACTTAAGATGTTTCTTGCTTTAGAGATCTTCCTTGAGATTTACGTCTACAACTTCGCATGAAGTATTTGTTGAAGCTTCCATGAAAGTATAGAGAACAATGGGATGGCCACATTCGAGAAGTGTAGGAGATGTAGGGACAACCTCTCTGCTCTTTTTCTTGCAAATATCTAAGTAGAAAATTATAGTGAATGAAAATCAACTCTAGGATGCACGAAATTCTCACTGTTAGTTAAATGAGGGATGGATATATGAAAGAACAAGGGCCTTATTTATAATTAATCAAATTGGTAGTAGTGGGTTTACTCGATTAAACTCCGTTTTGATGGGACTTTGGATCGATATAAGGCGCAGTTAATTGCCATGAGTAATAGGCAGAAGTATGGAGTGGATTATAAGCAGACATTTGCTCCAGTTGCCAAGATGAATACATTATGGGCTGTTATTTCTATTACTACTTCTTAAGATTGGTCGCTTTATCAAATGGATGTCAAAAAATGCCTTTCTCCATGGTAATCTCAAAGAGGAAGTTTACGTTATGCTACCTCTTAGCCTAACCTCCTCATCTTCCTCGGATGTCAATAAATTGAAGTGCTCGTTATATGGGTTGAAACAAGCTCCACAGGCCCGATTTGACAAATTTCGATCTACATCATTTATCCTTCCAACAGAGCCAGTATGACCCTTTCTTATTTCTACCCTTTCTTATTTCTTTATAAGAACTCTACTATTCTTCTCATCGTCTACGTTGACGATATTGTTATCACTGGTATGGATTCTGCCTTGATTATTAGTCTACAGCAGCACCTTCACACATCTTTTCATACGAAGGATCTTGGTTCTCTTACGTACTTCTTAGGGTTGGAAGTTCACATTGATCCCTCTAATATCTTTCTGAACCAACATAAGTACACACATGATTTGATAAGGTTGGTTGGTATGCAGGACTCATCTATTATAGATACTCCTCTAAAAGTACACACAATATCGTAGTGAAGAGGGTTATCATCTATCTGATCCTACTGTGTTTCGTCAACCGACTGGCAGTTTAAATCATCTTATTGTTACTAGACTAGATATTTCCTTCGCGGTCCAGCAAGTTAGGGAGTTTATGCACATTCCACATCATCTCCATTTTGCAGCCGTTCGTCGTATCATTCGCTATCTCATAGGCACACCTAGTCGTGGATTGTTTTTTCTTGTTGGCTCTCCTATTCGCTTTATTGCTTTTAGTTATGCCGATTGGGCTGGCTGTCCTGACATTCGATGACCTGTTACAGGATGGTGTATGTTTCTTGGTGATTCTTTGATCTCCTAGAAGAGTAAGAAGCAAGATCGATTTTCTAAGTCTTCTACTAAATTTGAATATCGCACGATGTCTGCTGTCTATTTCGGGATCATCTAGCTTCGTGGTCTTCTGGCTGAACTTGGGTTTTCTTAATCCGCTCCTACTCATCTCCATGCTAATAACATAAGTGTCATTCATATTGCAGCTAATCCTATTTATCATAAGTGTACAAGACATATTGGGTGGACTGTCATTCTATTCGGGAGCCTTGGATACTCATGTCATTTCTCTTCATCATATTTCCACTACCCTTCGGATAGTTGACATTTTTACAAAGGCCATGACTCGACAACGTCATCAGTTTCTTGTGAGCAAAGTGATTCTTCTTGACCAACCAACATCAATTTGAGGGGGTATTAGTAGGATATATTCTGTATATCTATATATTTCATAAATAGTTAGCAAGAATCTGTATATTCCATACATAAATAGCATGAATTGTGTAACGGCTGATTTACTGCCTTATAATTAACCATCTTTTATCTATTTAAGGAGAACAACTCTCAAAGTGAGAGTCATTCAAAACTGAAATCAATTGCCTTTTGACAAATCGATTGCCCAGAAATTGTGGAAAAGTTGCAGTAATATTTTCTTTGGGGGCATCATATTCTGTTTTCCTTATCTCTAGCAGCCACCTTTGCCATAAGTGCCATAGTGTCATTAGTAGGGACATCAACAGAGATTTGCCTTCTCTTTTCTTCTTATTGAATAATGGAATACACTTCATTGAAACTTGGAAGACGTTTGATAAGAAGGATTTGAGCCTTAAGGCCTTTGTATGAGCCATTAAGTCCCATGAGAAATATCATCACCCAATCCCTCTCTTGATTATTTACTATTGTCTTTAGTCCCCCACAAGTGCAATTAGGAATGCATTCATAATTCAACAACTCATCAAGGGTAGTGAGTTTTGAGAAGGACATACTTACATAGTCTTCGTTCTGCTGTAAACTTGCAATACCTTGCTTTATCTCATAAATTCTGGTACATTTTGTTGTGTAAGTCACTGCTCAAGTTCCAGCCACAATAAGTGAACCGTTTAAGCATAGAGTGTGCTTGACTTGGTATCCATGGACATGGTATTCTGCAACCTGGTGATGACGATATCATTGCAGCACAACCAATGATCCATCAGTGGATTGTTTGCATCAACAGGTTCAGAAATACTCTCATCTGTAAAGCCTAACATGTTCTTAATTCGGAGAGCTCTCTTCATTGATCTTGCCTAGGAATGATAGTTGCTGGAATCCAACATTTGAGTAACCAAATATGCTCCAAAACTATCATTACTCCTAATAAAATATGGGCTATATGGCTGGGATGGATCAACAGAGTTTGGATTTGGATTTGGAGGTAGGTTTTGATTTTGATTTAAGTTGGTAGAATTCTCTTGTTCTGGATTTGGAGGTGGGTTTTGATTTTGATTTGAGTCGATAGAATCCTCTTGAGCCATGGTGGCTCTGATACCATGAAAATTGAAAAACAAAGTGAAGAATCAAGTTGGGAGAAATTGTTGTATTTCATTGTGTTAAGAATACAAACGAGTGGTAGGCTATTTATACAATTGTCTAGAAAAAAGAGAAGGAATCCATAACAAACTCTATACAAATTTTAGAAACCGTATAACTTCACACCCCTCCAAACAAATATTTTTTTTTTTTTTTTCCTCCCCCCAAAAAAAAAAAAAAAAAAAAAAAAAAAAATCTTCTAGAAGGCTCCAGTAGATACATCAGAATATACCCTCAACTATCCTCCTTGAATTCTTCTAGAATTTCTAAACCTTGTTGGCATTGTTGATTGTGAAATAATTGTTGCCTTTGTCCACTTTGCTGGCTACTGGAAGTGTGCATTTTCGTCATATTTCAACACCCCCATTGTTGAGTTATTTTAACTTTTCCAGTTTTCCATGAACCTCTATGCACATTGCATATAATCATATAGTTTCTGCTAATGTATGTTTCTTAATGGACTAACTGATGTACGCTACATGGCAAAAAAAGGGATGAACACCTATATGGTTCATGTAGTATGTATTAATTAATAGAAAGTAGAAAAGGTAAATGACGAATGAAAACCTAAGTTGAGGAAGTATCATGCAGTATGCTCAGAAGAAGCAGCTGCCTGTCAAGTACCCTTGACAATTTCTATATTTTAGAACAAGACTATTCTCCTCAATCAATCTTTGTAAAGATGTATTTTTATCATGTATTGTATTATATAGCAGTTCACATTTAATATTGTATAATGTATAATTTTTTGGTTATGTTGGCAAATGGAGTCTTTGCAACAGAAACAATCAAAAAGCTTCCCCTGTAAGGTATATTTTACTATCTCTTAGTCACGATACTTTCTTGCATCGGTATACGTCTCATTTACAATTGCTATACCAATTATGTTGTGATGTTTTCTTTTGCAATTGGATGTTTAGAGGCTGTATTTTTTTTATTTTTTATTTATAGAAATTGCTATGGCTGGAGGTAAATCTCGATCATCTTCAGCTTTCTTATTAAAAGATTCTAGGATTCAAGCTTCTAGAGAAAGGAGTAATGATATTCTGGATTGTGGAATTGTAGTGTAGAAAATTCAGACGATTGATTTTGACTGTAGGTGATTCGGAATTATTTTGAGATGAATGATGTACCATATTTAATTGTTTCCTTAGTTAGGTAGGCAAATTTGCTATCTCCTAATTTAGGATATTCTTTTCCATTCTTGCACTTATCAGTTTGTATATAAATACATCAACAGAGAAATGAATAATACAATTCATACAAAATTTCGTGTGTTTCATTGCATTCTACATGGTATCAGAGCTAGGCCCTCTTTGTCCTAGCAATTCATGACAGAAATTCCAACCGATAGTAAGGAATCCACAACCTCTGAATCTCTTCAAAGTGAGACAGAGATTATCTTCTCCATGGGTTTAATAATGTCAAAAACACCACCTTTCAACTCACTATCGAAAAGTTGAATGGAAGAAATTTTCGTGAATGGGCCCAATCAGTCTAATTAATAATCGACGGCAAAGGGAAGTTAGGTTACCTCACTGGTGACACAAAAAGGCCAGTTGAAGCCACCCTTCTTAAAAAATGGAAATCTAAGTACTCCATGATAACCACATGGCTTGTAAATTCAATGGCACCATTTATAGGCAAAACCTATCTATTTCTGCCGACTGCAAATGAGGTCTAGGATGCAGTAAAAGAAACATATTCTAATGGAGAAAATACCTCAAAAATCTTTGAAATAAAGACCCGACTGTGGCAGACTAAGCAGGAGATAGAGAAGTCACGGACTATTAGTTGGAAATGACAAATCTTTGGCAAGAACTTGACCTAAGACTCAAAGAGGAATGTGAATGCTCAGGTGATAGTGTTCGCTACAAGAAGAGAGTCGAAAATGAAAGGGTGTTCGAATTTCTTGTCAGCCTCAATCACGAATTCGATGATGTACGGAGAAGAATCCTGAGCTGGCGGCCACTGTCATCAACGAGGGAGGCATTTGCAGAAGTAAGAAGAGAAGAAAAGAGAATCGTCGGAAGATCATGATGAACGGCAACTTTGAAGGCATGGTGGAACCTTTTGCGATGATGTCGAGAGGAAGTGAATTTGGCCTGCGGAAAACGGATGGAAAATCAGTGAATGGATGGAAAATGGAGTATACAAATATCTAAATCCATAACATTAAAATCCGTTCTTCATGTTCCAAATTTATCTTATAACTTGTTGTCCATTAGTCAGTTGATAAAAAACTCAAATTGCTCAGCTAAAATTGTCCATCTACTGTATTTTCGGGACCTCTTATCGAGGAAGACAATTGACAATGTTAAAGAGTATGAGGGTCTCTACTACTTTAAGGAGGCAGATATTAGTAAGCCAAGTTAAACTGCAATTTGTGATTCTGCATTTATCTCTAGGGATAGTGAAATCTTATTGTGGCATTACAGAATGGGCAACCTTAATATGCAATGTCTAAACGTGTACTTCCATCTACTTTTATGAATAAAACATTCTTTGACTTTCAATGTGAAATTTGTGAACTAGCAAAACACAACGTATTGTATTTCCAAAATCCATGTGCAAACCATCTAAACCATTCACTATGATCTACAGTATCTATGGAGACCTTCACGAATTCCAAATCGTACTCACACAAAATGGTTTGTTACTTTTGTCGATGATCATGCTCGGGTTTGTTGGGTTTATTTGCTAAAAGAAACATTTGAAGTTCGTTCAGTATTCATCAACTTTTACTCAATCATTCAAACACGGTTTCAAACTCAAATTCAAATCCTCCACACAGATAACGGCACTGAATTCTTCAACTCCACTTTATGATACTACCTACAAAAACATAGGATAGTTCACCAAAGTTCTTGTGTTGACACTCACCAACAAAAATGGGATTGCTGAACGCAAGAATAGACATCTCCATGAAGTTGCCCGTGCTTTGGAGTTTACTACCAAAATGCCAAAACTATTTTGGGGAGATGCAATTCTCATATCCACCTACCTTATTAATCGAATGTCTAATCGCACGCTTGACTTTGAATCACCCCTCCAAAAATTCCAGAAATTCTTCCTTGCTTCACGATTATATTCAAACCTGCATGTTAAGGGAATATAATCCAACATTGGTTAAATACTGAAATATAGACCAACTTATAAGATCTTGTGCTACTCTGTTTAATAAGGTTAACCTTTTAAGATGAAATTCTAAGTCTTAACATGGTATTGAAACTTATTTAGCTCCAACGAGTGATTCGATTCGATTCGATCCGATTAAGATTCAATTAATAAGCATACAAATTTTAAGATTGATCTGCTCAAACGAGCCACCATTTTACGGGGCATGTTAAGTGAATATAATCCACATTGGTTAAGTACCGAAATATAGACCAACTTATAAGATCTTGGGCTACTCTGCTTAATAAGGTTAACCTTTTAAGATGGAATCACAAATCTTAACACTACCTTTTAAGGTATCTGGTTATACTTCTTTCATTCATATTCACTCTCACAATCGAAATAAACTATATCATTGTGCGATCAAATGTGTATTCATTAGATACTCAAAAAGGTTGTAGATATTATGGTCCATCTACAAAAACGATTTTCGTAAGCCTTGATGTCACATTCTTTGAAAGGACACCCTATTTTCAAAAGCCCTCTCTTCAAGGGGAGAATTTGAGTGAAGATCGGTTTACATATTTTGATTTCGATCCTCTCGAACATATCAAACACTGACCTAGATCCCATCATACCACCAAGTTCTGATACGCCACAGATATAACAAAACTTGAACTTAGGGAGGAAAACATAAAGACAATGAGATACTAGTTTACTCAAGGAGGCCAAAGTCAAGATATAACCTCATATTTGAAGCATCATAAGAGTTGGAACCGATGATAGCTCCAGATCCTCATGAGTCTAAATTTCCTGATATCAATTTACCCATTGCACTTAGGAAACAAAACCAGGTCATGTACTCTTTACCAAATTTCAAAATTCATATCATATAATACTTTATCTACAAGATTTCGTACTTTTACATCCAAACTTGACAATACATCAATTCCAAAAAATATTAAGGAAGCTTTGGAAGACCCTAAATGGAGAAATGCAGTAATGGAAGAAATGCAAGCTCTACAGAAAAATGAGACTTGGGATGTGATGGATCTACTGAAAGGAAAGAAACCCGTGGGGTGCAAATGGGTGTTCAATGTGAAATTTAAGGCTGATGGGACAATAAAAAGATACAAGGCTCGTCTTGTGGTTAAAGGATACACACAAATTTACGACATAGATTATACAAAAATATTTGCACCAGTGGGCCAAGTTAAATACGATACGAATCATCTTATCTTCAGCAATCAAATTGAATTGGCATCTTCAACAATTAGACACCAAAAATGCATTTCTAAATGGGGAATTGGAAGAAGAAGTATTCATGATACTATATCTGGTTTCTATTTACAAGAGAAAAATCGAGTTTGTAAACTTAGAAAATCTCTATATGGTCTTCAGCAATCACCAAGAGCATGGTTCAACCGATTTGCTATGATATTGAAACAACAATGTATCCACCAATGTTATCAAAACTGGTCCGGCCTGGCCTGGCTCATTCAACCAGTAAAATCGGGAATTGGGCCCAAAATCGGGCCTATCATGCTCGGTTAACCGCTTAAAAACCTATTGAACCGGCTGGTTTAACCATAAATCAACAAACCGATCGCGGTTTTGGGGTTTTTCAATTTTATTTTTTTTAGTTTAAAAAGATTCCAACTTCATGAATGGGCCTCACAAACAAAAATTCAAAGGCTCGTAGAGAAATATTGGATGGCACGCTCCTTTTATGGATACACCTCTCTCAAATGGTTTCATAAACTTTTAATGTAGGATAGTGCATTTTATAGATACACTTCTTTCCAATGGTTTCATAAATTTTCAATGTGGGATGATAGCATTACAAAAATGTTAACAAATTATAGGATAATGAATTTAATTGACAAATTATTAACATTAATTTTTTAAAAAAAAATATTGTTTTCATAGTATTTTATTATTTTTGTATGTATTTATTGTATTCGGCTCGATCCCGGTTGGACCTTTTGACTTTTGACCCTTTACCTTTTCCTAGTTGATGACCAGGTCGGTTTTCAAAACATTGGTATCAGCAAAGATAGTCAGATCAGACCGTGTTCTTCCAACAATCAAAATGTGGTAGGAAAACTATTTTAATTGTATACGTTGATTATATAATCCTTATTGGAGACAACATAATTGAAATGGAAAGACTAAAAAAACACTTGGCGACTAAGTTCAAAGTAAAAGGCTAGGACATATGCGATACTTCTCGGGGATGGAAGTTAGAAGGTCATAAAAGGGTATTATTGTTTCACAACGAAAATACATTCATGACCTCCTTTTTGAAACATGCATGTTTTGATGTAAACCCAGTGACATACCAATTGATACGGGAAGCAATATAGAAAATACTAGAAAGTCAGCCAAGAAAGACAGATATCAATGGCTAGTTGGGAAATTAATCTATTTATCTCATACTAGACCAGACATTGCATTTGCAGTAAGCGTGGTAAGTCAACATATGCATTTACCAAAGAAAATTCACTTGGAAGCAGCATATAGAATCCTCAGGTATCCGAAAAGCTCATCAAGAAAGGGACTATTCTTCAAGAAAAATGAAGGGAATGAAGTATAAGTATTTATAGTTATAAACTAGGCTAGTTCTATAGAAGACAGAAGATCAACTACTGGTTACTGTACATATGTATGGGACAACTTGGTAATTTGGAGAAGTAAGAAATAGAATGTAATGGCGAGAAGTAGTGTCAAAGTCGAGTTTAGAGCTGTTGCACAAGGAATATGTAAATGATTGTGGTTAAAGAAACTTTTGAAAGAATTATAGGTCATTGTAAAACTTCCAATCAAGCTACACTATGACAACAAGGCAACAATCAACATTTCTTTGAACCCAGTGCAACACGATCGAACCAAATATGTAGAAGTGAACTGAGCCTTTATCAAAGAAAAAATTGAAGATGGAGTGATTTGTATGACCTATGTCCCTACAAAAGAACACATAGCAGACATCTTCACCAAAGGACTACCTCGACAAAGCTTTGATGATTTCATTTGGAAGTAGGAAATTGTCAATATTTACCATCCAACTTGAGGGGAAGTGTAGAAAATCGGGATGATTGATTGTGATTGTAGGTGATTTGGAATTATTTTGAGACGATTGATGTATCATATTTAATTGTTTCCATTGTTAGGTAGGCAAATTTGCTATCTCCTAATTTAGGAGATTCTTTTCCATTCTTGCACTTATTAGTTTGTATATAAATACATCAACAGAGGAATGAATAATACAATTCATACAGAATTTCGTGCGTTTCATTGCATTCTACATGTAGTGTCTGAATTCTTCAAGGATAAACTAACTCAATCTGCAAGGAAAGTGGGAAGTCAAACAATTTTACTTGCGACAAGATCATTAGTGCCTCTAATGAGAGTAGGAGGCGAGATCCTCAATGCAAAGTCTGGAGAATTTGGTATTATTGTCATCACCGGAACTTTGCATATTGTTTCAGGGGTATTAGGATTCCTCAATGGATAAGTCTATACGTGATAAACTTTCTTGTCCTTTTCTTGTTTATTTTAATGATGACAATTTGCCGGTTAATGCCCCAGGTTTTCAAATGTAAACTTAGTCTTGTACATAGGAAAAGTGTGGCAGCGAATATCTAGCTTATGATACATATAAATTAAGGACATGTTTCATAATGCAATAATTGACTGCATTGGACAATATTGGGGCTATAACTATTAACCTTTTTTTCTTGTTTAATATTGTTTAACATTGCCCAATCCACCTTACCAAACGTGGCATAATGGCTAGTTTGGTAATTGGACTCGACAATATCAGTGAAGAAAAAGAAGCTAAAATTTTGTCTATTGTGTTATCCAACCGTTTCTAGTACATGATTGCACAAATCAAGAAAGGCAGACGTGAAAATTTTTATAGTTGTTTTGTTCGATACTATCCAATCAAACATAACGTAAATACGTTTCTCTTGTGCAACACAGTTATGTCGCTTCACGATAATTTGGCTGAATTCTTTGATTATGGTCCTTACTATGTTAATTTGGCTGGATTCTATGCAGATGGTCCTTTCTATTCTTTATAAAGCATCCCTCTATTTGGCTGAACCACATAGAGGTCCCTTGTTGGTGCCAAAATTGAATTGGTCACAATTGAATGTCTCTCTCTCATAAATGCAAGCTATAACATCTTTTGCCCCCCTTGTATTACATTGGATTCCAGGTTTAGCAAAAAATTGAGATTACATCTTATTCTTAAAATTTTCCAAGTTAACCAATATAAACTTTAATCTACAGGGTACGTACAGGCTGTAGGGGCCATGCTGTTTGAGATGTTCCCCCTCAACACACCATCAAGTTATAGTACTCTTGCCGGGTATGTATGTACCTTCATCATTTTTTCTTTTTAAATTCCAGAGTTGATGGATTTTTCAAACCAGTCATTTACCTATGATAAGAGTTAAACCAACCAAATGTTCTTTTGACAGGATCAATATTGGTTAAAATGATTCTGTTATTTGATAGTTTAAAGGAGGAATGACTAGAGTGAGCTTAGATGCTGATACTCTAGGGGGACTCCGAAGGTGCTAGATTTACGAAAACTACTAGCCATGGGTAAAATTTTCTCGGGATAAGAAGGTTCAGATTATGTTCGGTCAAAGTCGAAAATCTCCTGGTTGAAGCTGAACTAGCTACACTTGGAGTGATAGGAAGTAATAATAGGAGTGAGACATTTAAAGTGGAAGAACAATCCCTTTGTTGGAAATAGCAATGAAATCTAGAATTACGTTGATTCACTTTATTTTTTTTTAAAATTTTAAAATGAATGGTAAATTTGTTATAATCAAAAGTTTTAAATACAAGGAATTTGTCCATGCCTAATTTATTTAAGATCTTAAGCTAGAACATAAATATAATGGGAGCTTTAATTTTCATGTTGCCAACTACTTTCTCATTAGTCAACATCATAGAAAGAAAGCCTTAATTTAATATTAAGTTTCATAATGTAGGATAGAAAGCAATTGCACACATTAATGTTTGGATTAAATAGCACAATTTTTTACCTCCCTAGGTTCAAAAGTAATGTTTTCAAGAATCAGTTTCTTTTTATTCCAAGAACCATATACTTAAGGTGAAATAAAAATATTTCCATTTTTTGTAAGTTACCTTGAATTTAACACAATTAAAATCATGGTATTTTTTGAAAGATAAAAAAATCTCCCTTTCTTGTAAATATTGATGCGGTGAAAAAATGTAGTTTTATTTTCTTTAACCACTCTTGAACATTAGGACTTAGGAATCAATGATTGCTCTTTTGGTTTTTAGTTTTGTAACATAAATTAAAATATTAACCTAAGTAGAAATATAAAGGTAATTAAGGGAAATATAATATATGAACCCTCCATCACTTGCAATATTAATTTAATATATTTAATTTATTATGACTGAGAAATTTTGGCAATAATGTCTTAACATTTTTAAAAATATTGAAAGGAAAATGCTTATATGTTCTCATACATGACTCTTGGGGTTCAAGTACTTTCTAGATAAATGTGTTTCATCAAATTGGCCTAGGCTTAAAAGCTACTTTGTTACCGTATTTCTCAGAAATATGTATCTGGCAATTTTGATAGAAAGGCATCCTTTTCGGGCTATATAAAAGCAGCATAATTTGATGATTAGCATTATAACTCCAAGAAACCCTCTATCTTCCTCCTAATTGTAAATCATCGATCGTGGATTTCATCTCCATCCTTGATCACCCTAAAATGGATTGGCAAAAAAGGCAGTGTACTCGGATTCATTTTCTTGAGTCATTATTTTCACATGATGACCATATAAAAAATCAAAACCTCAAGTGTCACATGCTTTTGAAGGGATCCAATGCACGACTACCGACTCCTAGAACAACGCCATAGAGTCGAGTCAAGGGCCCTTAGGGGTCAAAGTTCATTAACCCCTCTTTAATACATCAAGAAAAATGTTCACAGGGACAAAAGGGTCACAAGAAATGGTTAATATTCAAATGTTTTGAACATTTTTAGACGTTTCTTTCTCAATCTAACTACCCAGTAAACATGGACGTAATTTTCCAAAGTTGTTTGGACCACACCCTAAATATTGCAAAAACATAACAAACAAATTAGAAAGATGTTACTTAAGTCATTGTTTGTCTCTATAAAAGATGAGAAAAGAATCAAGTGACACTTTCAAATTTACGGTACAACAGTCGCCAAAACTGAAAAGCCTTTTGCTACATGTCAAATTAATGTTTGATGTTTATGTTGCTGAAAACAGTATATATGTATCTTTATCATATGTTGTTTTCGAGGGCCCTTTAGTTAATAAGACATAAAGAAAATATTAAGAATTATTATATTTTCTAAACATGAGTTTTTTAATGACTAGGCTAGGGGATTCTCATTCTGCCTCACCCCATCTTAATTGGGTATGAGAGCTGGGGTAAGCAGACAAAAATACTCGACAAGGCTCTTTTTTAACTTGATGAGGAGCGGGGGTGGGGTTTGGAGTGGTATAGAGTAAAGAAATGGGACTAAATTAAGAGAGTGACGATATTATTGGCTGATGCATGTCTTGGGTAGTCTTAAAGAAGACATTTTTCATAAGAGTTATATGAACAATCTTAGTAGAAAATGTTATAAGAGGAGAGAAGATCATAGCCAACATGATTTACAGTGATATTTAAAGATCTGCTTTGGTTGCTGATAAAGAAATGAATGGAATGGAATCCCGAAAAGAATTCATACAGCTTAACTTAATTTTTCTCATATGGAGTTGACAGCGTGTATAGAGTCCTTTTCGTCGAATTTTATGTTTTCTTTTACTCAATGAATTAATTTATTATTTTTTTATGTTTCTTCATACATTGAACTCGAGGCTCCAAATTTATATAAAGGGGACCTAGTGGATGTGAAATGTCATATTATTGCATTTATTTAAAGGTTCGTCCTGTCCAAAGAAAACATGGCATCTTTTTAATTTCAAACAAAAGACAAAGTTTGTGTCAAATTTGTACTCTATATAATAAATCTTCTCTGTGCGTTTATATTCTTGCAAAGAATATTGTGATGAATAAATGTAATATAAAAAAATTATATGATTGATAAAGCTATTGTGCATACTGTTCAAGAAATTATACCACTATTTCTTGAGATGATGACATAATATGTTTATTTTGTTGAATCATTTAATCTAAAAGTTTAAGCTATTAAATAGAGTCATATTTACATTATCTAAATATTGTTTGAAACACGTTTCCTTATCTATAGTTGGATTCATTGTACCTAAAGTACTCAGTGCTATTTATCATTTAGCCTCTGTTTGAGCATCATTTTAATATGATTTTGGGAGAAAATTTATTTTGAAATAGTGATTTTTTTGGAGAATGTGTGGTTAAAAAATATGAAAACGTTTGAGGTTTACGTGTAATATTATTTTATGGAAGAATGTGTAGTTAAAAATGAGTTTTAGAAAAAATGTATTTTGAAAATAATTGAGCCAAATAAGAGTTCAATTGAGCACTCTATCAAAGGCAGACGGAGCTAAGCAATGTATCGAAGCTGTTTCAGTATTGCGGGACAATCAATTGTATCACTGTGGACTTAGGAATGGTGAAAAAAATTCGATACTTATAGGGTCCACCCCGAGCTGGATGAGATTTCTTCGCCCAATCAGGTATACGGTATGTTCATTTCAAGATACAAGTTTTTTATTGGACATAAAGAAAATATTAAGAATTATTATATTTTCTAAACATGAGTTTTTTAATGACTAGGCTAGGGGATTCTCATTCTGCCTCACCCCATCTTAATTGGGTATGAGAGCTGGGGTAAGCAGACAAAAATACTCGACAAGGCTCTTTTTTAACTTGATGAGGAGCGGGGGTGGGGTTTGGAGTGGTATAGAGTAAAGAAATGGGACATGGCAATCTATGCAACAATGAATATAGTGGGTCCGATGGATGTTTCTAGTCGTTGACATGATGAAGACGCCAGGAACATCAGCTCCGAGGATGAATATGCAAGTAAAACGATTTGAAAGAAACCACTAGGGGGTGGGTTGGATGGGGTGGGATTCGAGGTGGAAGTTGGTTGGGTCTAAAAAAAAATAAAAAAATTAACTTTTTGTTGTAATAATGTTACACTACTATATTTCGTGCTTGTCTTTAATGATGGCCTCATGAGAGAAATCAATGAACATTGGATGTCCACTATTATTTATTACAGTCAATTTTTCTTTTTTCTTTTTTTAAATGCGTAAAAGCATATTTTCTCGATTTTTTTAATCGCACATATTTCAAATAATTACTTGGAAAATATGCTTTTAGGCAGAATTTAACATTCTTTTTTCACATATTCAGATCAAATACTTGTATGTTTGTGTAAGCTAAGAGTATATCTAATTTTTTTTATTTTATTTTAAAATATGAGATGCTCTTTATTTTAAAGTGTCAACTTTTAAAATCATATTTCCAGAAACTTTTTAAATTAACATTTTAATTTAAAGAGTGTGTATTCTCTACAATTAAATGCATTCAAAATATTTCAATTTTCAATGTAGAAAAATAATAAAATAATCTAAAAAAAAACTAGTATATTGTAGAACCATAATTAAAACATAGTACTTAAAATTTTCATCTGCCACAATAGTACATGACAATTTACAATAAATATGACGACCTCTTATGTAAACCTAAATAAATAAACTCCATTTTTCATATACTCTTCTCCTTAAATACATGTAAATACAATGCCCCAAGTTCGTGTAGCTAAAAAAAATTTATTTTAATAAATTTTGATAATAACTAATGAAATGTGTGGTTGATAAAATTGTGATAGCACTTCTAAGAGACTTTCTATTTTTAAAGAACATATTCTATTATTTGGAGAGTATCTATAAATTTAGAGAGTTAAAATTTTGAAATACTCTAACAAACTTTCTATATTTAATATTTAATTTTACTACTCCCAAAAATATTTATTATTTTTTTCTATTTTTTATTTTAACTAGCTTTTTTTTTAAAGATTATTTTATTGTTTTCCTACATTGAAAATTAACCCCCCGTTTGAACCACATTACTGTAAAAATGAGAATAAAAAATATAGTTGTTATGGACTCTATACAAGATATAAAAAGTCAAATATGGTAGCTTGATGTAATAGATAACAGTCATATTTTTTATTTTAATGATGAAATAATGGGGTTCAAACAGGGCCCAAAACACTTTTAATGCATCTAATTATCGAAAAAATATTAATTTAAAGAGTCTTTTGAAATATAATTTTAAACGTCGACTCCTTAAAATAGATAGTATCTCACGTTTAAAGAGTTT